TCCGCCTCGACGTCGCGGCACCTCCGCCGCCCGCCAGTCGCCGACCACCGCCCAGTCGCCGCCGCACCTTGCCGCGCCGGCGCCGCCACCTCGCCGCCCGAGGAGCTCCGGCCGCGCCCTCTTCTCCGGCAAGCCCTCCTCCGGCCGGCGTGCCTCGCAAAGTCCGGCTACGAACTCCGGCGAGCTCCCCGGCCATCCTCGAATCGCGGGCGCGCTAGATCCAGATCCGCAGCTACAGTAAACCCTAGGGTTGACCCCGTTTTTGTCCCAGTTTTGCATATTTTTTAGCATTTTTCATCATGTCGTAACTCCGCATCCGTAGCTCCATTTTGCGTGCGTAGCATATCAAAATGTTCGTCTCTGAGAGTACATCATTTCATCTCATTGCATCATTTTCATTCGAGCTCATCTTGATGCCCGAAATGCTGTTGGAAGAGAGATATTTGAGATAATTGTCAGATCTGCTGCATCAAATAGATATTTGTCATTTTTGTCATGATTAATGTGTGCATGATATGCTCCTGAGCTCTACATGTGTTTTTTATATGCCATGCCATCTTTACAGGGGTGCTTACCATGTATTTTTGTGACATGTGTGGTGACTAGCACAAGCTTGCAAAGTAGTGCATTCGTTAATGCTGATTTCAGGGACTTAGTTTTTCTCTAAGTCCTTGATCTGTTTTTATCAATACGCCATATGTTCATGTTGTTTCCTAGTGATCCGTGCCTCTTTTGAGGATGATCAGTAAGGATGATTTGTTAATATTGTGGTGCTCTATCCATCCATGTCATTGTTTGCAATTATGGAGGACCCTAGCTTGAGTCAATCGAGCTCTACTTTTGCTATTTCGTGAATCCTCACAGATTGTTTACTTGCTAGCGATTTTGCCGAGGATGTTGTTATTGATCCGTGCATGCTATGTTGTTGTTCTTGCCATGTCTAGCTTCTATGATACGTATTCTTGATGGGTGCATGCTTAGTTTGTCATGCCTTGCTCTGTAGTGAGTGCATCGAGCTCGTAAACATGCCTACTCGTTAACAGATTTGCACGCTTCAGTTTTTCACTAAGTCTGTAATCTGATTATGTTTTTGCCATGTTCACATGCTTGCAATTGTATTTCCTGATCCCTTTTGGCTCAAGGTCACTAAGGGACTTTTGTTAAGCTCTTGGAGTACCTTCATGTCATGCTTGCTTTGCCATGTTAAGTCCTGTAGCATATAGTTTTCATGCTCCAAAGTGTGCTACCTGATGTTAAATTTCAGACTTGTGTTAATTTCACTAAGTCTGAAACCTGTTATCGTTTGCCTTTTTTCCATGCTTGTTTG